TGTGCCGGCACTGTCACCTATCCCCCTGTGCCGCAGCCCCTTGCATCGGACGGGGACGTAGCACACCTGCCTCAGCAGCGCGGGATTGTTCGGGGCAAAAACTGCCCCTCCCGGTGGTATCTAAAAGCCACCGATGTCAGTGGTTTGGGGGCTCAGAAGCGGGTTCCTGGCATCCAGTCCCAGGCAGCACTGAAAGCTGGACCACAGAAGTCCTCCCCCCACTCCCGCCTCAGTTAAATAATAACCGCTGTACATGCTTACACACCACAGACATATATACACATATTTATATAGAAACCCCTTGCTTGTCTGAATCCCAGCTTTTCACAGGGAAGCGCTGGAGGCAGGCAGCACGGCGGTGGAGCAAGGTCCCAGCCGGCGATGCCCTCAAGTCATGGATGGATGCATGAAGCTCCTCTGGCTCGTGCTCTTGCAGCTGAGGACGAAGGAGGAGGAGTTGCTCTTCTTGCTGACGCTCAGGTCGCACGCCGGCCGCGACTTCAGGTAGTGCGTGGAGCAGCAGAGGAAGCGCCGCATCAGGTCGTGGAAGAGGTGCCCCGTGTACAGCATGTAGATCCAGGGGTTGCAGCAGCTGTTGAGGCTGGCCAGGAGCATGGCAATGATGAAGGGGGAGGCTGCAAGGCAGAAAGCACGGCAGTGTCAGGACACAGTGCGGCCGGCAACAACCACTACCCTTGGCGGGGCGGGCGCCAGGCACACGCCGCGGTGGGCGGTGCCGAGAGCCCCCGAGCTCTGCCAGCACCGTGACGCCTCCTCCCACGCCAGAGACGGGCTGCCCTGCCTGCAGGAACACCACGGTCAGTACATCAGTAAAGAAGAAGCTGGCGAATAAAAAGGAGGGAAGCAAATCTGGGTTTAAGCAACTTGGTTTTAGGGGTTTTTTCCCCCAGAAGAGCCGTGTTTCCCCCACTCAGTTCCTGCGCTGATGCCTGCTCAGCGTTACCCTAGAAATGCCTTGGGAAGAGGCAGAGCTGCCCCATCATCATCTGCACAATTTGCCTTTATCGTGCCCATAGCAGGGAGGAGGGAGCGTGGCCTCTTGGAGTTGCCATGGCAAAGAGCATGACCAGGAACAAAAAGAGCTGGGTGGCTCGTTTTTCCCCACCAGCAGCCAATTTGGGGCCGACTAGCAGCGTTCATCTACTAAGGCCATGGGGAAGCCATGCTCCCCCCCTGGCCCCAGGGCGTCCCCTGCTCCTGGGCTGTCCCCACCACCAACACACAGCCAACAGGACAGTGCCCACCAGCCCGGCCCCATCCATGCCTCTTTGCTCGGCACTCTCCCAGCCCCAGGAAACAGTGGCATTTTTCTTCCTCTGGATTGATTTTCTCCTGTGACGCTCTGCCAGGGGAAACAACGGCCATTCCCGTCTCAGTAATGAAGCCCGGGAGCCTGGCAATGGCTCCTGGCTGCAAGTGTGGCGTTAGGGACGGGAGGCGATGGTGGCGGCACGGTGCCAGGACGTCGAGTCTCCGGCTGCTGTTCTCCATTCCCAGAGTACGAAGTACCCGACTGTCCCACCTGAGAGGTCAGACCGGCACCTTCTGGTGAGAAAGGGACGGTGGGACTCGCACCCACCACGGCAGCCGGCCCTGCCTGAGCTGGGACAAGGAGGGGCAGCCCCGGCCTCCCATGGGGCAGCATCTCCATGAAGAGGCTGTGGGCAGGGACAGAGCCTTTGTTCTGCACCCCGTGTTTTCAGTCCATCTTCTCGTCTCCTTGTGCTCTCAGGGCACATGCCTGCAGTAAGGATGCATGCTTGGGTTTGGCTGTTTCTGGTCCCTTTCTGCCTCTGCAAAAATCCACTCACGGTTTTTAAACTAGAAAAAAAGTGTGAATAATTAATACTAGTTTCCAAAGTCACCTTTAACCAACTCATGCATAATTCCTGCTCTAGTGATGTCTGATCCAACTGCTTTTAATTTCAAGCATACGCTAAAAGAAATCCTGGGGGAACG